GAGCTAAGAAAGCTGGACAAAAAAACTTACATTTCCTGAATATACTAGCCATAGGATAACTATATTTGCAAATTAAGATCAATAAAGCTTCACATTATTGATGAGTGTGTGCTAGTTGTGTTGTGTTTCTTGGAATAATGAGAGGAGATGATCCAGCAAAAAAGACATGAAACATGTAGGGATGATGAAGAGGAAAAAACAAAGATAGAGACTCCTTAATCTCTCTGTCAATAAAACAGGCTCTCCTCCTGACTTGGCACTGGCCCACAGGGCGATATATAGCTCAGTAATCAGTCTGGCAGCTGGGAAACTGTGCACCATAAATTTATGGCTATTCAAAGCTCACCTAAGCGCGGCAAAGGAGATACCGTTACCCGGCAACAAAACAAACTCGTATAATATGGCCTATGTAATTCTGAGCAAGAGTGCACGGAGGGAGCAAGAGGAAGCTAAAGAGAAACCAAGGAAATGATCAGTGTTAGTGCTAAGTAGAGACTAAACAGCTGATTTACCTCTGAACTCCCTGCTTTCCATCTCAGCCACTGCTGCACTAACACTAAAACTTTGCCATCATATTTCCTAGACCCTCTTTAGTGATGGAGAACTCCACATCAAACCTGTTTAATGCAGATTTTCTTAGTTTTCAAAAGCAAAATATTCACCTTGCCAGATTGGGAGAACAATCAGTTTAGCAGCATTAGAAGAAATCTGTGGACTATGGCATCCCTGCTCAGCTCTAAGCCACAGCCTGGATGCACACAGACATCCCAGACTTCCAAACAACAAAGCAAATGCTTACAGTGAACTCAATTGGAAATATTTGATGTGTAGTAAGAAGTGCAGTTAAGTGCCCTCTGGTCATGGCAGCCCGTGTCATGCTGGGATGAGGAGTTTCTGTGCAATTAGCTCACACTGCCTCAACCAGAGCACAAGAAGCAAAGCCTGCACATGTCAGCAGATCCTTTTTTTTCGCACTCACACAGATGCAGTGATGAAAATCTAAATGATGATATTTATATAGAACATATATGTACATCATGTACATATGGTTTGAATCTACAGTACGGTGCTAAAATATAATTTTTCTTCTTCATTTCTTCAATTTCAGACCGTTTTAAAACAACGGTTTTATCACATCCACACTTTCTGTTGTGATAAATACGCTTCCTTTGATTTTTTTATATATATAAAAGACAGAACTAAGGTGGTGTGACAGTCACAGACTCTGCCCTTCATTTCTTTGTTGTTAGGAAAAAATGACGTGTTTGGGATTGAGTTCTGCAGTCTCAGGAGGAGAGGTTATGGCTTCTTAGAGACCTTACAATAAAAGCATCAGGTGTCATACATGTTTTAGTCAGCCTCTGTCCATCAGGTTGAAATCAAGCATTACTTTTGCCCAATCAAAAATGAAACATGACTGAAATATAGATGAGACCCTACCTGTTTTTTTGGACAACAATTTAATAGATTTCCTTTTTTTAAGTTTCAGGAGCAAACTGTCTCAGACTAAAATGTTTACAAAATGTTATTTATGATTTTATTTATATGTTAAAATTGTTGAATTGCAACCTAGCATTGCATATTTCAGCCTTGGTAATGTTATCTATAAATATGATAATGATATGAATCAGATTACGGTGTTTACAAAGTAGAAAATAAATTATCTAAGGACGTTTTTTTTATATATTTTTTTTTACATAACATTAAAATAGCAAAAATATCATAAGTAAGACAGCTCTGCGATGGACTGCATTTTGTAACCACTGACTGATATCAGATTCTAAAAGTATGATCAGTTTGGGTAAAAATACTTTAGCATTTCATAGTAAAGTAGTACTGATTTAGATTTTTAACAGTATGTGTAAAACAATCTGTTGTCTATTATAATGTCATAAAAAATAGAACATGCTAACTTTTCATAGTTATAATAAAGGCTTCTGAAACAACTATAGTTATTTAGATGCATTAATTAAGGAAGAGAGGGAAGATAGATTAAAAATGTTATTTATTAAAATGTTATTTAGACATAAAGTATATTTTAACAAAAAAACTTAGCAGGTATTAAACATTATTTTCATTAAGCCCTCATTGTTTAATCAAAACTGTTTTATTGGTCCGCAGACACTTTTTATGGTCTCTCATTAAAAGAACAAATAACTGAAGATGAAAATATGGAGGGAAAAATGTCAAAGGTTTTAAAAGTTTTAATGGGTACACCCTAATAACCTTAATCTCCTTCTTTTACATTTTCTTGGGGATTTAGGCCAATTAATGCAGTTATATTAAAAAAGAAGAAAAACTGTAGCACACTACGTCTAATGGCTTAGCTGATTCAAATAAAGTCTAATTAAGTGGAGTTACTGATTATTCCAGGACTCTGTAACAAATGAAATGATAATCTTTACATGTTTGTGTTTTTACATTATAAGGATATTTTCAAATGACTGAAAATGAGCAGAAAGATTATTTGAATCTGACCTATCAAATATTATGCATGGAAAAGTGGTCATATTTTACAGTTCAAGCTCCTTCTTGCTCATTAACCTGATGGTCTTATTCCTCTGCGGCCAAAGATCAGACCCCAGCACTGTTTACTCTAATGGTGCATGTGTTCAAGCAGCGTAGCTGAATATTTAAGACAAAATAATTACCAGTCTCTGCAACACAAGGTCAGAGATGGATCGGGTTCCTTAAATAGACGAGTGACATTAATTATGTAGGAACTCTTGTTCAAAGAGGTGTTTGAAATTTCTTTTGAGAAATGATTTGACCATCACCGCTCAAAGTGCTCAGCTTGCTTTTTACCTACAGGAGGTCTCTCTAATGCATCTTTGAGACTGACCCAATCCTCTGGGGAATATATAGAAAAGAAGATCTGAAAGATCTGCACATAATTTAAGCCATTTTCTGTATTGTGTTTTTCTTTTTCTTTCTTTTTATTCAGCATTTAATCCAGATCACCTTTAACTACTCTGTTCTCTTACATTAATCTCACAATCAGTAATGGCCCTCAAATATGCATTTTGTTTACTGTACATACACGATAAATCATTCCAATTATAATTTTTGAGCGGGTGATACATGTACAGTATTTCTGTAAGTAGAATAATTAAGGTTATATTGCTTAAACTGCATAAATCCACAACCAAGATTGCTGTTAATGAACAGGTGGAACTCTATGTGTACTGAATAATGACCAAGTTATATCTTAACTGTTTTCTTCATTTAAAGGTGTTGTTTACATGGCAGCGCTCATTGATTCAGCGAAGTGGAGTTCTTTTCTTCCTGGACTGTGAGCTATGAGCCTCTTAATGAGTTGGATGATTGAATACTGAGCTGGAAATGAGACAGAGGTGGCAAATGAAGCCAAGAGGGTTGAGTGTGAACAAGTGGGTGGGTGGGTGTGATGTGAAGGGCTAAAAATACATATTTTGCACAGGAAGGTTCTCTAACAGTAAGTGACAAGGCTCCTTCCTGTCCAGCTTGCTGTTGCTGAAAAACAAAGATTCATTAATTATCTCCAGTTATCCGTGTGCTAACACCAGCCTAGCTCGTATTATCGGACTGAAACCAATAAAGGAACACAATGCACGGTGTCATTTTTTCCAAATAACAAAAGCTACTCAGAACAAAAGATTTTAATAATACTCTAAAAAGAAAAAAAGAACAAATGAGCCTTTGAAAAAATGCAAGCACTTCATTTCATGTCATTGATTATACAGAAAGGGAAAAAAAAGTCTCTGGAGTGTTGGGTTTTACGCCAACCTGTGAGTGAGCTTTATATAACTTTACTTTGTAGACTTTTTTAATATTCACCTGATGGTTTTTCATTAACTAAAGCTGCTGATAGTGATAGATGTCAATCTTACAGTGTCTTGCAAAGTTACATTCATGTCCATTAAACCTTTATAAATGTTTTCATGTTTGTTTTTATATAGATTTAAAGGGACTGACCAACAAAATTTTTTTGTACGAATAAAACCTGAAAAGCATAGAATGCATTTAACTCAACCATCACAAGAATTAATTCTTCTGCAGCCTCCAGCAGATCTTCTCCTTGTCTTTAACTTAATCTGTCTTTCCATCAATTTTAACCAGTTTCCTGACACTGCTGTGTAAATTCATTCCCATTGCATGCTACTGCCTCTAGTATGTTATACAATAGGAATATTATGTTCAAGATGACATGATGTTTCTTTTCTACCAAAGATATCATTTTGAATGTGGGCTATGACACTTACAGCTTATTGTCCATACAAGGCCAGTGCACCTTCTTCAACATGTCTTGAAATTTATTTTAGAAAAGTTTTCTTATTATATTCTTTGAGCAACAGCTTTTTTCTGTCCTGCCCTGTGTTTGGCAGATTTGTTATGACTAACAACGTTCTCTGATGATACAGTCTCCTACCTAGATTTTACATCCCTGCAGCTACTCAGGTGTTACAAAAGGGCCCTCTAGCTGCTTGTCAGGCTGGTGTTTTTCGTGCTGGCCAGTTAAGGTGAATGCCCATGTCATTGTAGAGTTACAATTTTGCCAACACTATGTATTCAAATTATGCATTTGATTACACTGTGTCAAAAGCTTGGAATATCGTTTTATAACCAAACCTACTTTAAATATTCACACGGATTTCTCTCTGACCTCGTCTAACATTTTAATTACATTGATGCTTCTGGCTTGATGACGAATAACAAACATTGAAAAAACATTATGAAAAACCTGCGTCTTTATTAGTTAGAGTTAAACACTGATGAACTCTTTTTACTAGACAGCTGATATCTGAAGGCTGTTGGTTGGATTTGATTTTACAAAGATGTATCAGAGTTAAAAGAAATATTAGTTTTTGTTGCTAAGAAATATACAAAATTATAAGTCTTGACTATTTTCAAAATTTCTATAAAAAAAAACTGTTTTAAATTTTAATGATTTGGGAACACTTTTTGCAAAGCACATGGAGTAAGGAATGCCTGATCCCAGTGCTCCAGAGGTTGTTTTTTACCTTAGCAGCAAACGATGAGCTTGGCTTCTCCAACAGGTCCCACAGTTTCTTCCTCTTCTCTGAGCAGCATGTGGTAGTGAACTCTTCTCCCTCTCTCTCCCTCATATTCTCAGCCTCCCTCTTCAGCTCCTCGTTCATCTGCTCTTTCTTCTGGTGATACCGCGCCTGACAGCAGGACTCCAGGTAGATCTCATCAATGCCCCAGAAGTCCAGCTCCTGGCTGAAGGAGAGGGCACACATCTCCTCCATCATGTGCAGCTTCCCCGTACGGTAGAAGTTCAGGATGGAGGTGAAGGCACCAGGGTGCCGGTCGAAGAAATACTCGTTGTTATCCAGGCTATAGTCGTCGCATATCTCCATGATGGACTCGTGCGTGTTGCAGTCCCGCAGCTTGCCCAGTCTTGTACGGGGCAGCCTCTCTAGAGTCCTCCAGAGGACCTCGTGGAGAAGTCCCCCAACATTGAGTCTCACCCGGCGGGAGTGTGTTTTGGTCCGGATGATGTCTATGGTGTCTGGAGGCAGCGTGGTGGTCGACCGGGGGCCGGTTTTAATCATCTTCGCTCAGGTCAGTTGGAAACTCTGAGAACCCGGGAGACGCAGTCTGGATGATTAAGAAGACATGATCCTGGAGATGACCGCATCAGGACCCCCTTCGTTTCTTGTGCTTTGGAAAAAAAAGGAGATATATTCAATTATTCAGCGACTGCTGAGCGGGCACAGCCGGTGTCCTACAGCAGCAATGTCAGGTGGTTTATCCACTCATCAGAGAACCAAATAGATATTTTAATCAGCTTTAAGAGGCACAGCCTATTTTCCTGCTGACACGGGAGAGGGACAGCGGGGCCAATGATAAACTTGGACTCCGATTGGGAACGCTGTCCAGTGCTGAATCGCCCCCCACCACCAATCTGCCACTCCCGCTGCTTAGGTGCTCTCCGAGGTGCTGAAATCTGTCAGTCTGGGTGGAAAGGCAGCTGGTTCGGTTTCAAACTTGTCATATCATGAGGCTGTTATGTGAATCCAGAGCTGAGCCGTTCTTGTATTAAGCCATACTAATACTGACACCGATTATCAACTTTGATTAAGAACCCATAACACACCGTGTTATCCCCTAAGCAGACCCAGATGGCCCCTTTATGTAAATATCACTATTCATCCCCCCACCTTCCTAATGTAAGCTTTTTAAGATTCTTTAAAAACAATAAACAAAACAATAAACTTTAATGAGCGCAATTTATATAAACCCAACGCTCAGCCAACTCCGAAATATTGATTTTACATTAAACAAATATAAGTTAATGACATATTTTCAAAAAGTCAGATGAATAACTACACTTACGCGTCTCCCTGGTGTGACGATTCGCCTGATGAGGAAAAATCAGCATAATTTCATGTGTAACTGCGATACAACTTGTTAAGCCCGCCGCTGCCTCATTCGCTTTGCTTGGAGCCCAGAGATGCATCATCAGCCGCGCTCCATGATGGAAAATATAATGTCAAAACATATATGAAAAAAATGACAGAAAAAAGTCCTGTGTGTCCTGCGACCCACTTCTGGAGTGAATCAACAAGTAGACTCCGGGATCAAGGTAGGAATGCTCTCCGTTTGCCGCCTTTCTGCAGCTTCCTCAGAGTGGAGTGACTGTGGCTGTGGATGGGATGCTGCTCAGGCTGTTTTCTTTTTTTCTTCTCAGGCTCCTCCAGTGAAGTTAACCCTCACAAAGCCAGAGCTGGGTAGCTGAGTGCTTTTTGCTACTTGGACGAATTGTCGCAGATCTTGAAAATCACAAGAGGTGGATTACTAGAAATTGCTTGATGTGGTTATAGAAAAGTTTTTTTTATGGGTCGCATGATCTATATTAAATAGTGAGAGAAAAAATATGTCTGATATTGCAAAAGTTGGTTCCTTATCTTATTATTAATGTCCACAATAATAACAAAATATATATAATTATAACTCACATTATTTCTTCTTAAGCTAAGATATTTTTTTCTTTTATACTGAAATGCCTACTTATGGAAAATCGATACTGACATTGCTGTTCAGCATATCTCATCCAAAATCAAAGGATAGTATTAGAAGATGTATTTTACCTAATAGAAAACCATTGCAGTTACTCTGTTGTGGTGTCTAGTGGCTTGCATTTATTTTCATCATTTATCCTCATTTGCAGTTATAGAAAATCCTATTAATTTATTTTAACATTATTCTTTATATATTTTATTTCATTTGTTTAATTTGTTAATGTAAAATTGAAGTCCTGTATGGAATAATGCAGCAAGATTTTATGTTACCAGAGGAGCATTGTTTGATCACTTATGGTTTTGCTGTAGTTCTGCAGATGGTAAACTGCATAGACTAGACCAACTTTTTGTACTATTCCAAACTGACGCATTTGTCAGAAAACAAAGATTGCAAATCACCCTGAACATGCCAACACCAAAATAAAACACGGTGATGGCAGTATCATGTTGGTGGAATGCTTTTTCTTGGTAAGGAGAAAAAGTGTACAGTTTTTTGGAAAATTGACAATGCTGAAACAGGTTTTTTCAGAATAAATACTGTAGATAATAAAAAATAAACACTTTAGACTGTATTGGAGTTCCACATCTGTAGATACACAGCCACCGTTTGTACTCATGTATCCCATTAGGAATATGGGACCATAGTTAAAAATATCTGTGTAGAGAAGGGTGTCTATCCAATCTTATACAGCTTAAATGATTTTAAGAAAAATGGGCAAAAACAGTGTAAGTATACATAGTTGGTAGAGACATTGTCAAAAAGTTATTCTACAGCATGGATATTTAAGGTTGGTTCTTAAAGGATAGTATCCCGCATGCTTAATAATGTTATTAAGAGTCAGAATGGGGTGATTCAGATGTGTCAGAGCACGGACACTCATGAGGGCAGGAGTCAGTCATGCTTTTCCTACAAAGAGGTTGGCTGAGATAAAGGCACCCTTTCAGGCTACTTTTTGGAAAACAGATGCTTACCTGTGTGTATTTTGCCTTGCATATTAAAGTTAGGACTATTTTGTGTTGGCCTTTGATGTAAAATCTTTATTCAAGTTCAAATGTTATGTATAGTTTTTTAAAGGAACAGTTTTTTGGGTCTTTTTCTTTTTGGTAGTCCTTTTAAAACTGCTATGACTTGTAATCTGTGATGAACACAATACCATCAGTGTCTAAACAGCCTAAAGCTAAATGTTCCACTCAGATTCTGTTAACAGCAGGCAGGTTTCTGCCTAAATGAGACCAGATCTTTATTTACAGGACAAGCCTTCCCCTCATTACACTCATTCTTTATGTTTGACATAAAGAACTCCTCAATTCTGTTTGCATACATGAGAGCAACTAAATGATTCTAAGCAGCAACAAAAAAAAATATTCACAAAATTTAGCACATGTATAATTAATATTTATTGATAAATAAAAAAAACAATGTTCTTATACCAAAAAATAAATACAGATGTATAAAAAGTTATGTACAATATTAACAATGAAACAAAAAAAAAGATCAATAAAAATGATCATGCTTCTTTTGGTTTATATCTAACAAGCAAGTCTCCCACAGGCTGCAACATCCCAAATCCATAACGGGTGACATCTGCTTTCGGAATCTGAGCATTCGGATCACAGAGCTCCAGATCGTAGTTGGTCAGCAACATGTAAGCGAATCTAAAGGTTTAACAAAGATTGAAGACAAATCAGGACTTTCAAGCACAAAGCTCCAATTATTTTGATAAAAGATGTACAGGTAACTCACTGTCTGATGGTATTGATGGCAAACTGCCGTCCTACACAACCGTTGGCCCCTGCGCCCCATGGCATGGTGTAATATTTTAGCTTCTTCCCATCTTTGTAAAAGTCCTTTTTCACTGATCCGTCTTTATTCAGGAAGCGGTCAAACTTGAATTTCTGGTGGGAAAACATAGTTGATACCACATCTGATTAAATAAAGATAGTTTTTGATTGTTTCTCCTATAATAGTGGATATGAATAGCTTCAAAGCAGAATTAAAGTGTCCCTCCTACGCCTACTAGTTCTTTCCGTTCTCATACTATGTTAATCCCCAAATAACCCAGAGCTCTGGATTTGACCACTCACTGGGTCATTCAGGGTCAGCTTTGTGTGGACACTCACTTTCACCTTATATAAACAACTCATGCTGTCATTTACCCTTAAACCAGACCCCAGCTAGTCCCTTAAAGATCTGCTACAGTTCATGATATAATGTGAGAGGGAAATTTATAAGGCTTGGAAGGAGACAAACCTGTGGCTCAGGGTGGATCTCTGGGTCCATCTGAGGGCTGACAAAAGGGAACAAACACACCCTGTCTCCTTTTCTTAGCAGGTAATCCCGGCCATCAGCCATGTGAAGAGTCTTCTCCCGAACAACCTCTCTTGTTATAAACGGGGCAGCAGTGAGTCTAAGAGTTTCTTCCAAGACACTATCTGAAAATCATGAAATAAAAATATAAATTACAATCTAAAGGAACAAATGAGTTAGAAAGCATTTTTCCATAAAATACATATGCAATTAAGCATCCCATGTTTCAGCTGCAGCACACAGTTAGCTTTTGCATGTATTTATTTGTAAATGCTATAAACATTTAAAATTTTTGATGTTTTGCCTCATTTCAAAAGAGGGCATTTGCATCCCATCTCTATTTATGTTTAGCATTTAAAGACTATAAATATTTATTTATTCCTCTTTTCAAACAGCTCCAACTCAATCAAACTGGAAGGAGTGCAACCATGAATTTTAATTTTCAGGTTTTTCTACAAACTCTAAATTAGATTAAGGTCTGCACCATTTTAACACACAAACACCTCTTAATTTATGTCATTGAACTGCAGATGTGGCTGAATGTTGATGGAAAGAAACCCCCATTTGAAGGCAAACCTGCACCCTGGTATCAAGGCTTGCAGCATTTATCGTGTTCTCTTCATAGATTGCCACTTATTTAACTTAATCCATCTCATTAGGGTGTCCAGGGTATTCCTGCCACATGCAGCATGTTTTTTCATGCAGGCCAAAAACTTTGTGTCTTTGTAGAAAGCCTTCTTCCTCAGGTCTACCAGTTCTCTTACATGGGATGTGAAAAACTGCAAAGGGAACTTTTTCGATTTCTCTCAACAATCATTCTTTTAGGGTATTTTTGTAGAGGGTATTACTAGCATATGTTCCTTAAAAAGCTTATCCCACCTGAGCTGTTTCAACAGCATTTTCTTTGAGGTAAAAATACATAATACATAAGCATACCACATTCTGGCATCATGCGTAATAATTTTTATGCCTCCCAATTAAAAACTTGTTTGAGTTGGTTTCCTTTAAAATGGAAATAAAATTATTTGTTTGTTGCTGTAAACATAAAAATCAATGCAATGCTCAAGGTGGGATTGCTATTTGTAATTATTCTATTAAAAATTTCAAAGTAGCTGCAGAAAAGTTATTAATCTGCTAATAAAATCAACAATAAGTCCCTTACCAAACACTGGGGTCTTCATGGTTTTGTCCAGGAGAGGAGTCCCTGAACTCTCCATCTGTGAGATCTGGCCAAACTCCCTCTTCACGGCCATCAGGGCTTCAGGGTTTGTCAACAAATAGCCCAGAAGCCAAAATGCAGCTGGACCCACATTACCCTGGAAACACAGGAAAAAAAACTCACATGAGCATGGTGTGATAAGGTCCCCCACTCTAGTGTTGCATAGTGACAGCGCAGGTGGTTGTTTGGTAACAGCAAATAAAAACATCATGTGACATCCACAGATCTACCTTCTGTTGGGAGTAAGGATAGGAACAGGCATTATTTAAATGTAGTTATTTTAATTACATGAAAAGCTTAATGATTTTTTCAGTGCTGGAAGACAGATAAGAGCGGTTTCCTCTCATGTGTCTGGGAAGAGAAGAGCTATGCTCTGGTTTGTCTCACTTCTGGCAAAGCCCGGTGCAGTAATGGTTTACTTAAAAAGGAAAGCCAGTGGAAACCTGAGGTCCCCTGCCATCTGCCTGCATTCAAGGGCAGGACGTTCATTGTAACAGCAAAGCCTGTGACTAAAATAAACAACCTAGATAACAAACTGTTACAGTTTTCCTGGAATTATAATCATTCTTTTAAGTTACTATTTTTCATACATATTTCCCTCTGGTAGGCCCATTGAATCTTTTCTTTTCTATTTTTAGTTTATGTGTTTCCATCTTTATTCTGGATGCTTTATGATAATTTTATCATGAAGCCTCCATCTATCCATCCATCCATGCAAGCATCCATTACTTAAGTTTGAGAGCAAAAAATTGAATCATCTTCTTTTCACATGCAAAATATGTTACTTCATGAACATTCAATATTGTTAAAATCCAAGTTAAACCTTAATTTGAGCGAAATCTCTCTAGAAAGACTTTCTGGGAGACTGTGACTCAGCCTGACTCTGAGTAGAACTGTAATTTGCAAATCTAAACAACTCAAATATTGATTCCAAAAATTGCTAATCCAAGCTAGTATTCAGAGATGTACAGATATGGTTTCTCATGGTGGAAAATGATTTATGCTTTGAGGTCTGACTTGCAGTTACTATGTTGCACTGATGTGGGGGAAAAGTGCAGTAGATTCTGCAGTAGAGGTGAAGCAGAGAAGATGCTGTTGGCTAATTT